CTCCTTAACAACCCCTCACTGACAGCATGCCGGAAAACCGCCCTCTCCAACCCCACGGCCAACGGCACCCAGCTCAGCCCCCCCAAGCCCTGACCTCCAGAGAAGCCCCCACCTCTCTCTGCCTCCCATGCACTCTCCCATCCCATCCCATTCCTGTCTCCTGTTGACTCTCCCCCAGCACTAGCAGGAGTTTTGGGCAATTCTTGCCCCTCTCCAGCCTCCAGTCCCTCTCCAGCAGTGATGGGGGCTGGTTTGTAGCTCTAGGTCCATGCTGAGCCACTCGTTGCTACGGTCCAGAGGTGAAGATGCAGCCAATGCAAATGGGTCGCCTCCAAGCCTGAACTAGATGGAGAGGGGTCAACGAGCCAAACGAAACCCTTTAGGCATCTCAGAAACATCTTCTTTAGAGTCACTCCTGCAATAAGCCTGCCAGTTCTCAACAGCTGCCTTTCCAACACATGGCAAGGCTGGCACAAGTCCCCAGCACCAGGGCAGTAAGGGAAGAGAGAGAAGTGGGGGGGGGAGGGCATCCTCAGACAGACTGAGCATGAGGAGCTACCTGCATCTCAGCGTGGTCTCCCTGCGGAGAAGGTCCCTGCTGCCAACCCCATCCCCAGCTTCTCCCTTTCAGGTCTGATCCCAGCTCTCCTTGGGTGCCGTATGTAACCCTGAGACTTTTTTCTTTTTTTTTTTCCTCCCCCAATATTGTGAAGGCTGAAATCCCCCTCTGCTCTGGGTCCTGAGGTTGCAGAGCCATTTGTTTTCTGTTCCCTGTAACTCTCGTCCTCTCAGAGCCTCTTGCTGCCACCCCATTTTGTTTAAAGCCAGTGGTTCCCTGGGGCCCGAGATGCTCCGAGCGAGCTGAGCTTGAATCCGTAGAAAGCAGTTGTACGCCCCACTTGGACGTGCTGAGCTGGGGAAGGTTAATAAATCACATACCTCATTCCTATGCTTGGGGTGTGCTTGGTCTCTTGGCTGTTCCCCAGTAAGCCAGACCTGGCAGGAGGGACATGAGGGCTGTCATAGCTGTGTTTCTGGGTGATGGTGGGGACCAACCTGGCTCAGCAGAGGTTTTGTGGGGGTGAGGGGACCAAATCTGTGATTCCCCCTCCCCACCATAGGGAAGCTTTAATGCAAAGCTGACCAGTTTGCTTTCCCATCAAAACCTTTGGCCCCTAAACCACAGCTCCCATGAAGGATGGGAACTGAAACGGGACATTTTGTGGCTAAAGCACCAACAGTAGGTGTCCGAGGTGTTGCTGGATCACCTCTTCCCATGGTGCATTCCTTGAAAATCCTGCATTTGGGGGCTGGAATGGTGCCTGGTGTCAGCCTGCCGCTGCAAAGAGCAAACAGGGCTCTGGGTAAGTTGTGCTGGTGGCTCCTTACTCTTCCAACTTAAGGCCATCTCAAACGCCTCAGCCTTGCTAAAGTGGGCACCTTTGAGGCTTTGCAGCCCACCCTGCACAGAGCAGGGCTGCTGGGCCATCCCCCTTTGCTCGAGAGGTGTGATGGGGTTTGAACCCCTCGCCCCCAGGGTCGCCTTGGAGGCGAGCAGACCTGCTCTTTGCAGGCTTTCAAGAACCCCTTGCCCTCTTGCTGGGGTGGTTTGGGGGTGAGCGAGGCTGAGCCCTGTGCTTTGGGGTTTGCCAGAGTGTGCTGGCATCTCCCCACAGCATTGGAGCTCACTGGGTGGGAGCCAGCCCCTTCCCCAGCAGCCCCACCGACTCCCTCTCCATCCCAGCAACCAGAGGGAGGTACTTGCCTTCATCTGCCGCCTGCGGGTGCTGCCCAAACAGCCACCCACTGCGCTCAGCTGCTCCGAGCCCCGTCGCATCCGCTGCCCTGACCAGTGCTGGTTTAATCATATTTGATTACTGTCTGGCACGTAGCACGGTGTCACCAACTGGGTGACAGCGGTGGCACAGGAGGCAGAGCTGGGTTGGTTTTCTTTGTAAGAAAGACAGCAAGGAGCCCAAGATACAATTCCCGCTGCTCTCCCAGCTCTGGGCTTTGCATGCTTGGGTTCACGTGCCTGAACACTGGAGAGATGCAGCGCTGGTAGGTGCTGGGTGCCCCGCCTGTATTTGGGGAGGGATGCCCCAAGGCCAAGGCTGTGCCTTTCCCTTGCAGCCCATCCCAGTGCATCGCCAGCCTCCCAGGCGCTGGGGCTTTGAAGGCAGCCTTGGTTTTCGCAGCTCTGGGCCATGGGTGGAGCTGGATTTCGGCATCTGTTTACACAGCCCTGCCCAAGACTTCCTGGAGATGTCTTGGCAGGCGGTGGGCTGGGGCCGAGGGGAGAGATGACAGCCCTGGGAGGAAGCTTCATGGATTTGCTTGTTTTCTTTCCCTTCTTTGACATAAGCCGGGTGCCCCAGGGGTGAACTGGGCTCCTCTTCCTCATGGTGGCTTCTCACCCCCAACAGCTGTGGGGTAGCTTTGCCCCTGCACATCCACAGCCCTCGCCACCAAGCCTTGAGTTGACGGGGAGGAAGTTTGGGGAGCTGATCTGGCTGAAAACCCCCCTTAACAAAACAATGCCCACATGGGGAATGGAAATTTGGGGTCTGGGTCATGCTGTGGCTTTGCAAATGTGAGGGCCAGAGGGGAGCGGATGAGGGGTTGTGGCACCCCAGACTTGCACAGGCTGGTGGCCATAGCGGGGCAGGACGGTGATGCCAAGCATGGTATCACCAGCAGCATCCAACCCGGGAACCGCCTGGCAGGGCGCCCTGTTTGTTATGAACGAGAGATGCTTAATATCGCTAATAACGCGCCGTAAAAGCTCTGAGTAAACTTGGCAAATGCAGAGGAATTCACCTTTCCGGCAACAAAACAGCCATGCACCCACAGAGCTGGGGGGAGCCAGCAGCTCTGCAAAGTGAGCAGAGGCTTTCAGGCATGGCTTAGGGCTGCTGGGAGCCTGAATCTTACCTGTTTTTATCCTTACTTCAGGCTCCAAACCCTGCTGCCAGCTGAGGCTGCAGGAATAAGGTCCCATACCCCCCTATTCCCAGGCAGGCAGGGAAGGGACGACCCCACCTGGGGTTAAATTGATGTTAAAAGTTGTATCCTATGAAACGAAACCGAAACTCTCGTTGGGGCTGCGATGTTTTTCATCCTTTCTGCCTGTAATGGGAAAAATATGTGCCTGCTTGTTAGCAACAAAGGCCATTGGTGCGTGGAGCCGCTGGCTGTTTCTGGGCTGTTTCTGCCTCGGGATCCCTGTGGAGACCTCAGCGCCGTACCTGGATGGCGCTGGCATGTGGCAGCTCCTTGGCTGCCCCTTTCCTTACCCTACGAGATGGCTGGACACCGACTGGTGGGGCTGGAGAGCTTATGTGGAGGCTTGGGGCTCCTGGGCGGCTGCTTTTCAGCTGGTTTTGGCATCGCTGCCTTCCCCTGCCTGCTGCAGGCAGCGGTGGGGGGCAGTTCTGGGCGCCCTATGAACGCGTCCTCCCTCCAGGGTCAGCATGGGGGGATGCTCCAGCATGGGGAGGGCTTTGGGGGAGCCGGGGGGAAAAGGGGGTTGGCGATGAGCTGTGGTACCCCAGATGATGCTGGCTCTGGGGGATTTGAGGGTGCACAGAGGCAGCAGTCACCAGCTTGGTTGTTTTTTTTGTTTTGTTTTTTTTAAAAAAAAAGGTATTTATTGAGCTTGGGACTTTGCTGCCCGTACAGCTTTGGTTATAAGGCGAGGTTGGCTGCAGGGGTCCATCCAGCTCCCTCAGGTGAAGGCAGGAGAGCCGGACCACCAGTGCCTTGGGGTGGGGGTGATGGGGAGGCTCAGCCCCTCTGCCATGAGATGAGGGGTCCCCCAGCACCCTGGGGCAGCCAGGTATGGTGTATATGTCCCGCGTGGGAATGCTAAAGCACTTAAGAAAACTGTATTTATGGCTTATCGGTCAGCTCGGCCTCTTTCTCCCGTCTGGATCTTCCCAATCTTTCCTCCTCCCGCTCCATCATACAACCCCCGCTCGGTTTCCCATCAGAGAGAAGTGTTGGGAAACTATTTTGGTCTCTTTGGGCTCAACCCCTCCCTGCCAGGGTTGGGGCCACTGCAGAGCAGCTCAGTGGGTCCAGCCCAGGCAAGTGTTTGGGACCGCAGGCTTCAGCAGTGGAAGGGAAGGGGGTGGGGGTGGGGGAAATCAGCTGCATCACATCTGGGAGAGGTACGGAGGGTGGCAGGGCCTGATCCTGCAACATGCAGGGAGGGTACAGGCACCCTGGGTGCTCCCAACACCCATCCAGCAGGAGCCCTTTGTGCTCCTACATGGATGAAGCCTGTGGGAAAGCTTCTCCTGCTCCACAAAAATGGCCTGATCCAAGCCCATGGCCCCACCCCATGTGTCCTACTGTCCCCACCCTGCTTACAAAGCACCTTCCTATCTCTGTCCCCCAGAGCCATGTGTCGGACCCCAGGACCCCATGCCCAGGCAATTTCCCCATTCTCAGACTGGTCCTTCTGCTCCTTGTGCTTCATGTGAGGTTGGTGGTAGGAAGGATGCACCTGGCCAGCCAAGGGCCCAGGCACTGGTCACGGTGGGGAGGTCATCTTTGGTGCCGCTGGACCGGTGGGATCCTCTTTGCAAGAGACCCCCCCCCTGGTCATGGCTGGCTGCTGCGGGTGGTGGAGGGCTCGTGGTGGGCTCTGGGGATAGGCGATGGTCGCCCTTTTGAGGGCGGGCTTTAATCCTGCAGCCGCGCTGTGATCTCGGGAGGGAGATAAGTCAGGAGGTGGCAGATTTGGACACCTGGAAAGCACAGTGTGGATCTGCTCTACATCACCCGAGCTTGTTTGAAGCTCTCAACTAATGGAACCCAGCCCTGACCCCCATCTAACAAGGGGTTGAACTACCAGCCTTAGGCCTGAGTCTCAGCCCCTTTGACTCCTGACCGCCCGCAGTTCCCAGAAGCTCAGCAAAGGCATGGCACTACGTGAAGATAAATGCTACAGGAAGAGGGGGAACCCCCAAGGCATCATTTCCTTCTCCCCGCCTTTAAGAGCAGAGCGCGACGCCCAAAGCCAGCAGGAGGAGGGTCCCCAGGTGGACCTGGGACAGCCCTCCTCCAGCCCTGCTCTTCGACTCCCTCGACATGTGGTAAACTATCACCAGCTTTTCTCCAGCACCAGAGGGATCCATTTCATCCCCCTTGTAGCAGCTCCGTCCCCCGAGGTGGCTGGCTTGGGGGTCATCTCGGAGCAGGTCTTCAGCCGGATTCTCTGACCCAGCCAAGGCCACGTTGACCGAGACATCCCGCATGCCCACGTCATTGACAGCGAGGCAGGTGTAGATGCCTTCATCCTTCTTGCTGAAGTTGGGGATGGCCATGGTGCCATTCTTGAAGACCAAGAAGCGCTCTTGGCTCTGCTTGACATTTCCATCCCGTGCCACGTTGGGCCCGCTGATCTCGACACGTTGACTGGAGGTCTGGATCTTCCACCTGATCTCTGGTGGGGGGCTGCCCGCCACACTGCAGTGCAGGGTCAGGGTGAGGCCATCGTACATGACGGTGTTGTCCAGGTTGGAGAGGTAGGTGAGCTGTACAGAGGGAGCAACGCAGTAGTGGTCAGGGATGTCCGTCACCGCCCTGCCCTTCATCCTGCTGGGAGCCACACAGAGGGTAGACCCCCCCTTGGTGATGGAGACGGAGGTGTTCTCAGTCCACTTCTTCAGCCAGAAGACCTTGCAGGAGCAGTTGAAGGGGTTGTTGAAGATCTGTAGCTGGGACAGGGAGGGCAGGTTGTCAAAGGTGCCCTCGGCCAGGGTGGTCAACTCGTTGTCATTGAGCCAGAGGGAGCGCAGGTCCTTCAGGGAATGAAAAGCGTCCCGGGGCAGCCCGGCCAGGCGGTTATTGTTCATCTTCAGGATCTGCAGACCGCTGAGGTTACGGAGGTCCTGCCAGGGGAAATCTGCAATCTTGTTGTGGCTCAGGTCCAGGTTCTTCAGGTGTACCAACAAGGAGAAAGTCCCCGCTTCCACCACCCCGATCTGGTTGTATCCCAACCACAGCGACTGCACTTCAGGAACCTCAGCAAAGGAGCCCTGCCCCAACCAGCTGATCCTGTTGGCCGACAAGGTGAGGATGGTCACATTGGAGGACAACCCCTTGGGTACCTCCTGGAGATCCTTGTAGGCGCACTCAGCCAACAGCCGGCCGTTCTTTTTGGTGGAGCAGGAACAGGCTCTGGGACAGGCCAGGCAGGGTCCCAGGAGCATGGCCAGCCCCAGGCAGCAGAGCAGGGGCCTCATCCTTTCTCCTGGGAACAGAGACGGGGGGGAATGAACGGGATGGGTCTAGCCGAGATGGGGATTTGCTTCTTCTTGTCAAGTACTAAGAGGAAGCAGCAGAAGAGTGACACATCCGTGCGATTATCCCCAGCACTGCAGCTGAAAAAGGCTGTTTCAGATATTCCCTAATCTGAGGAAGGCATTTCCTCACCCAGAGCAGAGCCTTCGGCTACCTAGATGAGCAGGGAACTTCCCCCTAAACCCTTTCCTTCCCCCACTAGAAAATGCCTCTTCTTGATCTTTGATGAAATACCAGCCCCCCCTGGAATGTTGTTTTCCCAGGTTTTGGGATGAAAAGTAGGAGCTGGGGATTCAGAGTTGACCCTGCTGAGGCTGGAATTAGGGGAAACAGAGCAGCCACAGCTCTTTCACAACAAGCCTTCCCCTAAACCATCAAGTTGTTGGGATTTTCAGCATGCTTTCAGCCCTCAAACCAACCTCCCCCCTCCCTTCCCGTCTCCATCTTTTGCCATGTCATGGAAAAAAACAGCTTCTCGACTGCTTTTTCTCAGCGAGAGAGTGTGGGGTCCCTGGCTGCTGGAAGCCTTTAGAGCGAAATATTTCTGAGCTAACTCCTTACTCCCCTTCTTCTTGCCTTGCAAAGGGGACCGTGCACGCGGGCTTCCCGGCCTCTGGAAGCTGTGTCCCATCAGGGAAGAGGTTAACCGCAGCTCTGCGAGGAGCTGGCACCCAGACCGCCTTTGTCTCTGCCCCGCTTTGCTGTTCCTTCCAGGCCCCAGCGCTGTCATTTAGGGCAGGAAGGGGTACATTTTATTGGCAAGGGAGAGGCTGAATAAGACCTGGACAGCAACTGGGGAGAGGGGAGGCAAAAGGGGACACAAAGGGTCCTGTCCTCCAGGGATAGACCAGCCCAGGGGGTTGAAGGGTTGGTAAGGAACCCCGAGGGCTCTGGAGGTGATGGAGGGGTGAGGGCCCAGCCGTGCGGGGCGGAAGGGGGGGGGTTCCCCACAGCTGATGCATGCAAAGCCCCTGGCTGCTGTGATGCTGGGGTGTCCCACATCTGTCCCAGCCCAACCTGCCCAGTGAGGTGTGGGTCCCAGCTTGCACAGGCAGATCCCCAGCACCCCCACCAACGCGCTCCGAGGGCTCTGGAGGTGATGGAGGGGTGAGGGCCCAGCCGTGCGGGGCGGAAGGGGGGGGGTTCCCCACAGCTGATGCATGCAAAGCCCCTGGCTGCTGTGATGCTGGGGTGTCCCACATCTGTCCCAGCCCAACCTGCCCAGTGAGGTGTGGGTCCCAGCTTGCACAGGCAGATCCCCAGCACCCCCACCAACGCGCTGAAGGGTGCGGGGGGAAGGGGGAGGGGGTGTGTTCCGCACCGCTTTTGCTCCCGCAGCCCCCCGGCTCCTCCCATCC